TTACACAACACAACATGAGTACAACAATGTGTTCCTTACACAACACAACATGAGTACAACAATGTGTTCCTTACACAACAGAACATGAGTACAACAATGCGTTCCCTACACAACACAACATGAGTACAACAATGTGTTCCTTACACAACAGAACATGAGTACAACAATGCGTTCCCTACACAACACAACATGAGTACAACAATGTGTTCCTTACACAACAGAACATGAGTATAACAATGTGTTCCCTACACAACAGAACATGAGTACAACAATGTGGTCCTTACACAATACGTATAACTGTTTCTCATGTATAACTAAAAAAACATCAGGTTTATAAAAGCGCTAGACACCACGGTCCAGACCAGCTAGTGAGTGACTCACGTCCGACCTCACATATGTACGTATGTACAAAACAGACATAAACAGACTGTTGCACTATACGGAAAGGGAGAAGAAGAAAAAAAACAACAGGAAATGAACCCGCAGTTTGATTTGTGCACGACTTCGCCGTTTGATGTCTGTCTCACGCGCATCAAGCCAGTGGGAGCAACAAGGGTCACGAGAATTATTAAGTGATATAGAATTTTGTCCACAGCTTTCCTGTTCGCGGGTGGCCAGTCACTCAATGTCCAGGAAGAACCAGGTTATTAATATAAATTGTAATGAAGGTCACAAAGAAACAGCCTAATTATGAAAGCGTGTGTGAATATAACAGAGGGTGTGCACTAGCTGAAATTACTACTCAGAAAATTAGGTTTTCGACGAACTGACCCCCTCCCGCTAAACTCAGTTGTCTGTCGAAATATTTGTCACTTAGATACGGGTGCAACAAACACATTACACAAAGCTTGGAATAATGACTCATGAACATAGGCCTCACAAATGATTGTTTTTATAAATAGAGATCGTGTGACCCCATAAAAACTTCACATAAAATTGTACTGACTGAACCAATTATATATATATATATATATAATTATGTTAGAATAGCAGTAAACTTTTAATTGTAACATTGTATCACTAATATTTGCCAGAACGGCGGGGTATTGGCTGATGGTCAGAGCGCTTGATTCGAAATTTACGAATTTAATTCCCGTCACCAAACATGCTCGCCCTTTCAGCCGTGAGAGCGTTATAATGTGACGGTCAATCCCACTTTTCGTTGGTAAAATAGTAAGCAGCCCAAGAGTTGGCGGTGAGTGGTATTGAGTAGCTGCCTTTCCTCCAGTCTATCACTTCCAAATCAGGGTCGGCTAGCGCAGATACCCCTCGGGTAACTTTGCGAACAAACTTTGTCCGAAGATCACTTCCAAAAGACTGCTCATTATCACAGCATTTGTACAGACGGAATGTAAACTAAGGCTTCAGTTATCTACGCCTATCTTTCTCGTAACTAATATACTTTTCTGTGAAATTTTCTTCAGCATTCAGGAGTAATTCGTCATATACAAATTAAAAACAAACAGTATGGAGAGCGCTCCCTTTCTGGATTTCAACCTCTTTGCTAAGTCAGCTTCAAAACATTTGGCCTTGACTTTTATTTCCTTAAGCTCATTCATTAAGGTTCGCATCATCAAATTTCTTGTAATATCACCGGAACGTAAGAAAATTAGAGAAATCAAAAAGTTTTATTTATTCAAATGAGCTACCATGTCTACGTACACTACTTTCAGCTGACATTATCATATATTGGTCCTGATTAAAAATAAACAAATTACATTTTCCGGGTTCTTATGTTATTGAGCACGTTTTAGCCACGTCTATGTACGAAGTGTATTAGTGCTATGATGTCCCAAAACTGCTCCGCGCATAATCTATGTTTTGTGAATTGACTGATCCTTTTATTCGGACCCCCTCCCCCCTCTCACACAGATATTTGTAGATCACTCCATTAATTTTCATGCGCAAAATAAAGTGATGGTGTGGGTGTCAGGTGATTGCTTGTACCCTATAATAGGTGCAGTCGTAGCACCCTGTTGTACAATGGGTGAAAGGGACCATTTGTTCGATTTCCAAAATGCAATATTAATGGTATTTTGTTTCCTTTGTGTGTGTGTGACCCTTGGGGGTCCTGAAACCGACATCGCGTCCTACGCGCAATTTGGTACTTTAAAATAAGTTAAAAGAACGTGTTTTACAAAAGCCGATGGGGCTCATTTGGACAATTCGATAGTATTAGGATTTCGTAAGGAGGGTTTAAGTGTCAAAATGACCAGCGACCGGAATTTCAAAAGCGTCGACGAATGAAAGGTAGTTATCTATGTACAATGTGAGCCTCGTTTTGCAAGGTTGAATTGATTAAATACTTTTGTTCTTCCTGACACCAGTCGCCACGTAAATCCTTAAAACCAAATGGTATAACCTGACAACTTCCCAGTCGCCACGTGTTCCGTAAATCCTTAAAACCAAATGGTATAACCTGACAACTTCCCAGTCGCCACGTGTTCCGTAAATCCTTAAAACCAAATGGTATAACCTGACAACTTCCCAGTCGCCACGTATTCCGTAAATCCTTAAAACCAAATGGTATAACCTGACAACTTCCCAGTCGCCACGTGTTCCGTAAATCCTTAAAACCAAATGGTATAACCTGACAACTTCCCAGTCGCCACGTGTTCCGTAAATCCTTAAAACCAAATGGTATAACCTGACAACTTCCGTACCCATGTCAACGGTAAGTCTGAGGGTGTATAGCACTAAAAAATCGAGTTTCGATACCTGCGGTGTGAAAAGCGCAAATAGCTTATGGTTAGCTTAACGACAAAGAAACAAGCAAAGGCACACCCATAAGCTTACACATTCGTAATGAAATAGGAATGTGGTCTTACTGAAAGAAAAGGAAAATCCTTGGTACAAACAGAGTTTAAGATAATTATATATGTAATTAGGTACATGATTATTTTGAAATGTGAAGGTTGTTTATTGAAATATCTCAACAGCAAAGGATCAACATTGTTGTTAATCTTTATTGTTGCTTGGAGTGATTCTATGTAGTTGGGTATTAGAACAGTTGTTTACTCAAGACATATGCCAGAAAATTCAATTCACGGTACAAGAATTAAATAGAGATTTAAAAAAGCGAACTATAAAGTCACGTATCACCAGAATGTCTGTTTGAAAACGGTAACAAATGGATGTTATTCAGGTTCAAAGATGAAGTCAATATGGGGTTGATGGGGGATGATGTAAAGCAGAAAGAGCCATTTCAGATTTAATGTGGGGCTTCTATTCTCAAAGAGGATGTTGGATTTTTCTAAAGTGAAAATCCAATGTGTAGTCTGACGTTGGATTGTATTGTAGGTTTACAACACACTGTTACACACACACACAGTGGGGGTAGTTGGCGTGCCTAAACAAATATATCATCTCAATACATTACTGATATGAACACTACGGGGCGGTTAATTGAATAAAACGCCCATCATATTAATCAAACTTTCATTGAAAATCACGAGTTTAGGGGGTAATCGGTATTTCTACTTTGATGAGTAATGTAATTCAAGTTTAAAAAACATTAGTGAAAAAAGTTCTTTTTTTTTATTTTAGAATTTTCGCGCAAAGCTACTGAAGGGATTATTTACACGTTGTCGTCATCTCTAACTTTGTATTGGTGGAACAAAGGGAAGGCAGCAGCTAATCAACACCACCCACGGCCAACTTTCGGGCTACTATTGTCAGATCGAATCATATAATTTGACCAACACTCTTATTACACACTCACGCCCCCCCCCCCCCAAAGCGAACAATGGACCCTCTGATTCAGAGTCCAGCACGCGAACACTAGACCAGGCCCATATATTTTGGAGGTATGTTATTACTAACGTGTTTATCTTACTCATGTGAAGTATCCACTGATTTGTTATCTCGGTAAATTAATAGCCCACAAGTGCTAACTTACACATGTGAATAGCACATGCATTGTTAATTAAACTTTAGATGCGGTTGCGCAGACAGTGAACGAAACGGCACAAACACATTACTGTGAAATATATCACTTCCAGACATACACAAGCTTTCTTTTCTGCCAACTTTCTCACACACACACCCCCTATTTTTTTCATTTCTTCCGGTTCACTTTTTTAAAATCTTTACCTCGCTGATCCTTATAGTATCAAATACTGGCCTTTCACGTGACTCACGTGTCTTGGTATGTGTTTAAGTATAGAAGGGCTTGAATTTTTTTCAGCCATGATCAGTAGCTTTAGGGTTGTGGCGAGACATCGCCTTTTAGGTTCATGGACGATATGTACGT